ACATTCTCAGCACTATTCTCATCATGAATCTGCCAGGCCTTTGATGCGCATTTGCTTCAATCAGGGTGCAGATCTGCTTTTGTATGGGGCCGTACCCAAATCTGCTATATTTGGGTACGATGACGTCACATGCGTACCCATTTTTAGCAGATTTCTGCTAAAAATAGCAGACTGCTAAAAATAGCAGATTTTACCATAGTTTCCCCGACTGATATGGGGTGAGCTATTTAAGAATGGTGATCGGATATCGAACGTGAGACAAGACAGCAATGAGCAGTGGGCGGTTCATGCAACCATAATCATGTTTCCTTACCACAAGTATCAAAGCAAAATCAAAAATAGCTACCTATCGAATTCAAATTTCACTGGAACCTCACCTGCATGGATCTTAAGTGAAAGGATCTTGATACATCTGCACGAAAGATACATCTTGATCCACTCATCTCAATCTTGTTTTTCTGCATCCAGGGCATGCAACACTTCTGGTCAAGGCCGTATATAGGACATCGCTTCTGGTATTTTTGGCACCACACTCGACTGCTGAGCTCAAATGCAAATTTGGATTGCAATCACGGTCATAAAATACTGAATGAATCGCAATGTATGTTCAGTCGATGTACCCCTCGTTCGATGTCTCTCAGACGACGAAGATTGTACGTCGTCCGGCCAATCCCGTTCTAGATCAACGGGGGCTCGGCTGCAATTATGGAATGTGATTGGCCGAATGGCGTAGAATCTTTGTCGTCCGAAAAACATCGAACAAGAGTAATGTCGCTACTGCGCCATTGTTGCATCGAATTCGCCCCATAGAAGCACGTGTTAACTCTCTCCCATAGGGCCCTGGGTTGACTCTCTCCATAGGGTCCTGGGTAAACTCTCCCCTTGTCTATTTTCTTTAAACGGGGATAGTTTGGACAACAAAATATTTTCGACCTCAAAAAAAATAAAACTTAATTTTTGATGTACCTCATTGATGCAAAACATCAGAAAAACATTAGAAATTAAGTCAAAGAAACCGATTATTTATAAATGGACAGCTGACGGCATGCCTCCCATGTCCCCTGGCTTGAAGCTTCGGCTCCGTGTTACCTTAGTATTCTATGACCGTGAAAAAGACTGAGTATGGCGGCTGACTTAGAGCCCGCCAGTCACGGGAACCCGCAAGTACTGCAGACACGCGGACATAAACATTAACACATGAGCATGCCATACTCATCCGTAAAACAAATAACATGCGGAATAACAGAAAAATGTCCCCGTATAAACTCATCCCGCGAAACACAACACAAAAAGATAACACATATATCGTACGCAACGAACAAGTACCGCCCGCGACAGAGATGGGCAAAAGTATCGATCAGCTGTTCGCGCCGTCTGAGACACGGCCAATAAAGCTACCGCGCGAAGCCAGCGTGGGGGGACGGGAAGCGAGTTTCCTAAGTGTGGAACTATTCATACCGTCGCCCGTTCGAGTGACGTCATCAGTTGGCGCTGGCGGCTAGGTGCATGGATTGGCGGGTCCTTAAGTTGGCGAAGAGGCGGAGCCAGTTATCCTGCGTAAATATTTAGCCAGTCTTAATTTTAGCGAGTTCCCTAGTTAGGGGAAAGCAACTTGTTCTACGTGAATATATAACCGGTGTTATTTCAGTTGTCGTTCGTTCGTGCATTCGCCCACCTTGGAAGCTTATCTCCTTCGAGGAGCTTGAGTTTTGACGGTGTGGTTTGTGCACTGCGTTTCGCTTCAGCATTGAGCAAATGTCTTCAGTATTACGGCTGGTGATACTGCCTGTCGGCGTTGAATGATGTTTGACACCAATAGGACACAGATTAGCAGGTAGTGCGGATTTATTATTAGCAGATTTATTAGCGAGATTATTAGCGGTTTTATTATTTATTTTATTAGCAGGTAGTGCGCACGGATCTATAGTGCGGATAGTGAGTGACGCCATCTGGACCGATGCTGGAGATGGTAGCGCCACCTGCCGCCACTTTGCTGCTCGCTACTTGTAACAGTGCCTGGCTGGTGCTGTGTGCTGATTGTTTGAAGCGTAGTACCTTATGACGCACAATATAAGGTCACTTTGCAAAATTTGAGGAGCATGGACGAATTAATTTGTGAGACATTGACGCCTTAGTAATACATAATTGTTCCCAACACAAGCTACGTATTAGATTTCAATGTATCGCTCAACTTCCCATAATAACACCAGGGGCGCTAGTGCCGCGCGCCGCTAGCCTATAATCGTGCAGCGATTGGTCAGCCGACTGTGAGCCATGACGTCACAGCCTGTAACGTCATCTTGGCGAAGCTTACGCCAATCAGAGACCTTAGGTATGGGCAGTTCCACACTTAGGAAACTCGCGGACGGGAACGGCTCAGGAAGGGGCAGGCTGCTCCATCTCGCGGCTGTCTGGGAAACTCCACCGCACCGCGCAGACCGTAAGGCGCAGGTGTCGCGGCAGACGCATGACTCCTCCGTCGCGCGCACACAGGCGCGCGGCTCACAGGCGCACTAACAGCGGATGTTCCGCTGACCATATTAGTGGCAAGGGGGGCTGTTAACATCCATCCCTGAGGCTTTCGGAAATATCTTCAAAACGACTGGAGCTATAGGATGCCGAAATTTTCTGACTTTTCTTAAAACTAAGCTGGGCACTTTTCCTGAAAATTTTAAGTTGATATCTTTATCAGGGGCGGTTCCAGGGCATGGGGAATCGGGAGGTCCTATTCGTGAAGCGAGTCGTTTAGTTAAAGATCACGATGCTGATGCATTATAACTGTAATTATTCATTATGTAGGTATATCAACATTATTTGTAGGTATAACAGCTTTAGAAGTGAACAAGAAACGGATCGTAGGCGGTTTCAGGGAAAAGGAGAAAAGGTACATATATGTTACCTTCCACCTTCGGTGCCCTGATGCCGCCTATGAATATTCAATCTAATTTAGGCATTTTATCACACGTTTTTGTATCATAATGAGATTATTAATTTGCCAGCCCGTTTTGGTGACAGCACCAACAAAACATCCGATTGATTATGTATTTCATGTGCCTCCAAATTTCATAACCTGTAGGAATCCGGCTATTAATTTTCGAAATGCTTATTTTTGTAATACATGTCAAATTCTGATTCATCCTGCATCGATCGGCAGTAGTCGCGTCAAAATTGGTTGAAAAACATGGCCATGGTGAGGAGTTAAAAAAGCATCTGAAATGTGTAGTTTCTATCCCCCTCCTACCTTTTTTTTGACTTCCTTTCTTCAAAATGTAGATCACGTTGAGGGAATCGAATGCCATTCGAATTTTGAAAATCGGCAGGTTATATTTTGACACCTGCCGCATTTTCGGGTCAGGTCAGGTCATTGACCTATGGCGTCAGAAGTGAACCTCTGCACGATCTTCAGAGGTCGCAACTTCGCAACGCTCTCAGTGCCAGAGGAGCTTTCACAAGGAGATTAAACTTACAGGACGTAGTAGAGGTCTCACAACTTGTACACCTCAGATTTTTCCTAAAGGTCACATGACGAAAGGTCGGCTACGTGACCTCTCCATTTCAAGTCAATGGGGGAAAATAAAAACTGCTATTTTGACGCTGGGAAAGATCTTAAGCTATCCCAACCCCAAGCATATCGAATCGTGATTTCATGCACTCTTTGCAAGTTTGATGCGTCACTTTTGTATTGTTAATGACGTCACTAGGGTCATATTAGTTTTTCGTCAATAACTCCCGATTCAATTGAACTAGCGAGTCGGGAGAGCCACCAATGGACTTAAAAGACCTGCCAAATTAAAAGATATGCGACATGACCTCATTCGACAAACTTCGTGACCTGTAAGCCCTGGCCTGACCGTGACCTGAGTTCAACCCCAACAAAAAGTATATCATTCGACAAGTCTCAACAAGGCGAACACGATGATGTCAAAATCGCGGCTTTGCGGCCTCTTTTAGCCAAGTTATTCATCAAAAACTGAACCCATAACTTTGGCACTTGACCTGACGTAAGATGTCACCGGTTGACCAAGACCTTATAATCGGGTGTCAATAACTGTATCTCGTAACGGCGCACCCGCTTGTTTTTCCTGAGACGCGCTAGCTCCATCAGAGGCGAAACGGGGAGGGGGGTCGTACCCGCCCCCCCCCCTTCGCCGGCGCGTAGAAGAAAACCAATATGTCCGGCGATGGTTAAGATCTCGTTCTTTTCCAGAGTCAACTGTTCAGCAATTTTCTTTTTCTCGGTCACGTTCCGTGTCGTGTCCTTCGTGTTCTGGAGCTGGGCCGCCTGGAATGGTCAGTATTTTTGGGTCGGATCCCACCTCCGACTCGTGAGAGGCACTACATAGTAGGCGGTGCATCATTTCTTATTTCTTATTGCGGTTTTTATTTGAAAATCTACTGAAAATGGACGATTTTTTACGCATCCCCTTCATCGTCTACGGCTGATCTCAAAGTGAGAGCACTACATATGTTCGCGGCCGTGTGATAAGGGTCGGTATGAGATCTGAGATGTCCGTACCACTGTCGTCGACTAATTTCCGACTAGTGCCGTGCAATCGGCCACCATCGTGCGATTGCTCGGCGATCGAACCTTGGTGGTCTCGCGACTGGTTGCTGATGTTGGGAAGAACGTCGTGCGATTATCGGCGACTTGCATACGACCGCCGACCGCTCCCGACTAGGCCCGCGACCACCGAAACCTGTCGTGCGATACTCGCCCTCCTACTAGCGAACAATGAAATACTTGTTGCGGTTTCTCGCGAACTCTTTGCGACCAAATCGGTCGCCAGGAGGTTTTTAGTGCATCATCAAAAACCTCTCGGCGACCAAAATGACCTCGCGACGTCTGAAGACAAGTCGTTCATATCAACATCCAATCGTACGAGCTCTTGAAGAATTGCGACAACCTTTTGCCGACCACCGATCGTGGGCGGTCGTAAGTGGTCGCATCGCCTAGTGGGACCGGGGCTTTACCTACACTGTGTTGACGACCGACTGCTTACCTGTTCAGTCAGGCGGTTAGTCGGCGGCGGACGGCGACTCCCCACAGCTGGTCGGCGGCGGGCGCCGACTCCCCACAGCTAGTCGCCGGCGGACGGCGACTCCCCTCGGTCGACCCGTCGGGTGTCGTCGGTCAGCCGCGTCCGATCCGCGGGCCGACAGGGCAGCCCCGATCCGCGGGTCGTCACTGTCAGGGCAGCCCCGATCCGCGGGCCGACAGGACAGCCCCGATCCGCGGGCCGACAGGGCAGCCCCGATCCGCGGGTCGTCAGGGCAGCCCCGATCCGCGGGCCGACAGGGCAGCCCCGATCCGCGGGCCGACAGGGCAGCCCCGATCCGCGGGCCGACAGGGCAGCCCCGATCCGCGGATCGTCACTGTCAGGGCAGCCCCGATCCGCGGGCCGACAGGGCAGCGCACGGAACTCGACTGGCGGCCGGCCGCTGCAGCACCCCGGCTCCCGGCGCCCGGCGCCCGGAGATGCTCCGTCCAACCAGAGCCCGGCGAATAAAACGGAACGCGGCCGGCGAGCGCGCACGGCGCCGCAGTGGCCCGTGGCCAGCGACAGGAGACGAACAGAATGCGGATATTTTTCCATTTGCCCCACTATACGCGGGTTAACCCGCGACCCGTAGTGGGGGGGGGGGGGGGAAATTTGTGTCACAAGGTAGTTCCGTGGTAGGGCTATCCAATGCCGTTTGAATTTTGAAAATCGGCCGGTAAATTTCCGAGATCTTTGGGGCGGGGGAGGGGGGGGGGCGAAACGCCCCCCCCCCCACGGGTGGTAGGGTCCGCTGAAGCCCTACGGGGCGCGGCTTTATAGTTGTGAACCACCTAGCACACAGCATACAAATTTGAAATAACGCGCTCAATACAAATTACACAGTTTAACGAAATTTTAGAAAACAGCTTAGATATGATCTAATTATCAGCATGTAGAAAAGCGAACGAGACAAAGTGTTTAAAAGACAAACTCAACAAGTAAGTACAGCAGAATGCCAATCGGCGACAGCCTGCAGCTAACAATTGTCCTGCAGTAGCGTTCGGTTCCCTAACCTCAGGCGCGATTCGAACCTATCATCGTTGATCAACAGGAGCCAATCGCGAGGGGGGGGGGGTTTGCATTGACTCCCTCCTGCCAGGCCGTGTTATAAAAAATGCCTGCCAGGGCGAGGGTTAAGAGCCGATTTCTTACTTTAACAGGTCAGAGGCCAGGTCAAGGTCAGGTCAAGAGAACAAAATGCAAGTTTCTACAGTATCGGCCTTGCACCGTAGTTGCCGAAGAATGGACTGAAACTGACTGCCCAAAACGTGTTCTTAGGCTACCAAGACAAGATTGTTGCATACAATGTCATGCAAAGGTCAAGGTCAAGGTCAGTTCAGGTCAACAAATGCGAAATAGGTATAGAAGAGGGCATGTGCGACACATGTTTTATGGGTTATTTTATTCATAGAATTCAATGGGCACATTCAATTAGTGATATGGACCACATCTGGATGAATTTAAGGTCGAGGCCAGGTAGGTCAAGGTCAGGTCAAGTGAGGTCAAATTTTGAAGTTGATTGTTGGTTATACCGCGGCGGCCGTATGTACGCTGCGGTAGCTACACCGTGCGGCGAGCAGGGCCGTTCCGCGGCGACATTCCGCAGTGGCGCACTGCTCGCAGGGCCGTTCCGCGGCGCTGTGGCCCACTGCTCGGTTATCGCCTCGTCCGTCGGCCGCTCAGCCGGCATTAAATATACAATATACAAGCACGTCAACAATGGCCGGAGGGTCAGCGATGCATTACAGAGCGACTGCTACAGAACGGTTATGGCGGCTGTTACCTTATTACAGAGGGATTGTTACAGAGCGATTATTACGATTGCTGTATTATTACAGAGCAATGCAGGTTAGGGACTGCTCTAACATATACCCAATGGATGGGCAAATGCCCACCCATTCACCACAATTGCCCACCCAGTGGCGTCGATTTGCACACCCAGAAGCAAATGCAAAAATAAAATCCGGCCGGACGTCCGGTACTACCACTTCGGTCATAGGCTTAGGAACAGGGGGGGGGGGGGGGGGGTGAAGGGGCCATGCCCCCCACTTTCGGAGGTGGGTGGTGGTGGTGGTGGGGGGGGGGGGGGGGGTTGCAGCAATGTTAACCCTCGCATGTGTAGGGGGGTCGGATGGACCCCCCATGGTTTTTCGCGAATAACTCGCGTAAAAAGCGGCCGATCGCGACGAAACTTTCAGTACCCTCTCATTGATCAATTTTACACATATCCTGAAAATTTCATGACCCTGACTCAAATGACCTTTGACCTGTGACCTGAGTGTGACCTCTTTTCCGAGACCATGTTTGGCCGGAATCGCGATTCCGCGTATATCGGCTCGCATTAGCCGCGCGTTTGCAAGCTTTTCGTGATTTCAAACGTTCAAACATGTGATTTGATGTTGCTCCCATGCATTAGAATGGGTGTCAAGGTCACCTGAAGGTCAGGTCAGGTCATTGACCTTTGGTGACCTCGGGTGACCTCGGTTCACTTTTTCGAGTTTTACATGTTTCTAGGCTAGTTTTTGGAGCTGAATTCGAATTTAGCAACCATTTGAACATTTACGAAGTAATTTTGGCGCCTTCGTAACATGTTACGAAGCTGTCAGAGGCGGTTGACACGTACTACGAATACCCGTCACAACCCCTACTGGTTGACCTGACCTGACCTGACCCGACCTGGTCTAAATGCTTAAAGACATCATCTGTGATCAAAACTAACACGATATTCGTGATCAGCACCCCGAAAAACCCCTTAGCAGCCACACTTTATGACTTTCTAATAGGTCCCGATTTTCCCGACTTTGGGTCATTGACCTGACCTGGAAGGTCAACCAATGACTTAGGACCTTAAAATTGGGCATCATCTGCTTCCTCTCGTCACGGGCAACACGCTCGTTTTTTCCGCGAAGCTCTAGCTCGATCAGGGGCCAAACGGCAAGGGGGGGGGTCCAACCGACCCCCCCCCCACACATTAGAAGCTGGCAAACGCCGCACACATGCGAGGGTTAACTGCCCGCCCCCCCCCCCCCCCACACACACACTTTTTTTCTGGCTGAACTTTTGCGCCTGTTTGCACCACTCGGCATCCTGAACAGTGAACACCAAAACTTGCAGATTCTTCAGCTTGTCCTTTGAATTTCGAAGAAGTGTTTGCATCTACAGCGTTATTGAGGGGAATTTTCTTCACTCGATGAAGTAAACCATGTCAACAGCAAAAACTGAGAGCTCTGGTGGCAACATTTCGTTGGTTGAATGCGAGTCGAGGTGTAACCGTGTATGCGAGCACTGAAAGTAGAGAACACTGACCAGGATTTCGACGGTCCTGTCCTGTCGAGGCATAGGTTTAGTATATGGGGGGCCGGGGAGGTCATGGCCCCCACCTCCGGAGGTGGTGGTCAGCAAAGTTAACTGCATCCCTCCCCCACTTTTTGCTGACTTTCATGGCGGCGTAAGAACAGGGGCAGAGGGCTATGGCCCCCACTTTCAGAGGTTGGGGGCAGCAATTTTAATTGCCCCTCCCCACTTTTTGCTGACTTGTGCCAGTCTGTACCTACTTACCACCCATCACCCTTAAATTTTGACGATTCTCCAGCTTCCCCCTTTGATGAAGATTTCCTTTTGTATCTACACTCTACACTCCAGGGCATATTTTAACAAATTTTTACTGCGTCCCAAAGTTGAGCAGAGGGCACGTGCTACGACTAAAGGCACAGGGCAAGGAACAGAGTAGGGCACTGAGGAGGGCAGAAAGTATAGCACGGCAGGTTGCAGGGCATGGCACAGGATATTTTAGAGGGAAGGCCGGGAACAGGTCAGGGCAGACAGCAGGGCACAGGTCAGGGAACCGGACAGGGCAGGGACGCAGTGGGTCAAATTAGCAGGGGCTACGTCCCAAGGCGAGGGGGCTGCGTCCCAAAATGGGACGCAGTAAGTGCCTTAAAATATGCCCTGCTACACTCTACAGCCATTTGGGCGCCACTTCCCTAATTAACCCGCGCATGACTGGGGGGGGGGCTCCACAGAGCCCCCCTCCGTTTTTCGGCAATATCTTCTGAACTGACGGATCAACACGAAACTTGCGATATCCTCAGCGGCATCAATTTGACACCTTGTGGTAAAATTTCAACTTTCTAGCTACCGTAGTATGGCCGAAAATGACGTCAGAGTGACGTCATGTCGGCCGATTTTGATGCAAATTATTGAACTACGGCAAACGCTCTCAAGAGCTTAGTTTTAAAGCTAGATCCAATTTCTTTGCATCAGTGGACTACAAATACACGTAGTTATCAAACTGCTATCTCGAATTTTCGGAATTTTGAAAATTGTGTAAAGTATGTAAATGTTTTTACAATTACAAAAACATATATTTTTGATTTTTCCAAAATATTTTGATTTTACGCAAAAAAAAAACCGGCATAAACGTGATAGAGCACACACTGATGAACTACTCTAGCAAGTCTTAGCCCAGTATCTTCAAAAATAGCCAAGTTATTTGCATAATTGTCAAAATTTTACCATTACGTATATATTTTCATCGAGTAAATTGGTAATTTATTGAAAACCATCGATGGTACATTGTTCGTCAAACACATACTTTGCTATCTGAGGTCACTGATACCAGGTCAGGTCACAGCGAGGTCAGGTCACCGGGGGTCACAATATGAAAATGTCGTGTGATGCATGTTGTATGGTCCATTTTACATGACAAATGCGATTATGTGGGTTAGACAGCCTTTGGGGCCATCCTAGGTCACATTTTGGTGAAGGTCAGGTCAAGGTCATGTCAAATAAGGTCAAATTTCAAAATTGATATTTTTGCATTAGATGGGTATCAATCGATGCAGCTCGTCACGGGGAGTCTAATGGTGGTATTTGTTTTGCTCTACGATGTCCAGAATTGCCAAAAATTGAGTTTGAAAATTTGACGTCATCATTTTTGAACAGTTTTTTTCGCTATAACTTCGTCAAAAAACGAGGTATTGATCTGAAATTTGGTATGTGGATAGAAGACGGTAGGTGCTATCACATATATTCCGTTTTTTCGAAACTCAATTTTTTTTTGGATTTTTTGGCAAATATATCCAAAAAAAAATGCTTTTTTTTGATTTTTGGGGGTCGAAACTCAAATATTTCTAAAATCCGAGATAGCACTTGGCAGTTTTGTGGCCCTGTCAATTCTACACCTTTAATGTCTTGATCATTTTTCTGTATCTTTAAAGCTTCAACAGACAGACAGACAGATTTCATTTAATTTCAGACAGATAGCAGTTTTGTAGACCGACGGACCGACGGACCGACGGACCGACGGACCGACGGACCGACGGACCGACGGACCGACGGACAGACAGACAGACAGACAGAGGGCGGAGATTGACTCGCAGACCGGGTCGGGGAATAATACACAGAGTGCCGCTGTGACGACTCGGGGACTGAGACTGACTCGGGGAATGACTCGGGATTACTCGAGGACTGACTCGGAGCCCAGGGATGACTCGGGAACTACCGCTGCTGCCAGGGTCCGGCCTAGGTGTATCGACCTCCCTCCGGACGTTGATGACCCCTCCCCCCCCGTCCGACCAGCCCAGTCAGCCGTGGACGCTGTGCCCCGGTTCAGGCCGCACAGTGCAGGCGACACCGGCCGATGTTGCCAATACGCTCCCGTAGGCGGCTGGTTTATTTTGTTCACCGAACACTGACACGGACATACTCCCACTGTATCTTACCGCACCGAACAGGCTCCAATCACCGCTCGGCACACGGCCCAGAGGGCGCCTCAGGTGGCCGACAACTCCGCTCTGCAGTCTGCGCACAGCCCAGGGGCGCCTCAGGTGGCCGACAGCTCCGCTCTGCGGTCTGCGCACAGCCCAGGGGCGCCTCAGGTGGCCCAACAGCCCCGCTCGGCACACGGCCCAGAGGGCGCCTATGGGACACACCCTCTACTGACAGCACGGGACACGTCCTCCACTGTCAGTTCGGGACACGGGGTCGCTATTTTCCAGGCGGGTCACTGTCCCTCAGACAAGGGTCGCTGTTCCCCAGGCGCAGACCCTCAGGTGGCGGGAGTTGTCTTTCAGTCGGCGGACGGAGGTGGCTGTCCCTCAGCTGGCGGACCCTCAGTCGGCGGACGGAGGTGGCTGTCCATCAGCTGGCGGACCCCCAGTCGGCGGACGGAGGTGGCTGTCCCTCAGCTGGCGGACGGAGGTGGCTGTCCCTCAGCTGGCGGACGGAGGTGGCTGTCCCTCAGCTGGCGGACCCTCAGTCGGCGGACGGAGGTGGCTGTCCTTTAGCTGGCGGACCCTCAGACAGCGGACGGAGGTGGCTGTCCCTCAGCCGGCTCAGTCGGCGGACGGAGGTGGCGGACCCTCAGCTGGCGGACCCTCAGTCGGCGGACGGAGGTGGCTGTCCCTCAGCTGGCTCAGTCGGCGGACGGAGGTGGCTGTCCCTCAGCTGGCGGACCCTCAGTCGGCGGACGGAGGTGGCGGACCCTCAGTCGGCGGACGGAGGTGGCTGTCCCTCAGCTGGCGGACGGAGGTGGCTGTCCCTCAGCTGGCGGACCCTCAGTCGGCGGACGGAGGTGGCTGTCCATCAGCTGGCGGACCCTCAGTCGGCGGACGGAGGTGGCTGTCCCTCAGCTGGCGGACCCTCAGTCGGCGGACGGAGGTGGCTGTCCCTCAGCTGGCGGACGGAGGTGACTGTCCCTCAGCTGGCGGACCCTCAGCTGGCGGACGGAGGTGGCTGTCCCTCAGCTGGCGGACGGAGGTGGCTGTCCCTCAGCTGGCGGACGGAGGTGGCTGTCCCTCAGTCGGCGGACCCTCAGTCGGCGGACGGAGGTGGCTGTCCCTCAGCTGGCGGACCCTCAGTCGGCGGACGGAGGTGGCTGTCCCTCAGCTGGCTCAGTCGGCGGACGGAGGTGGCGGACCCTCAGCTGGCGGACCCTCAGTCGGCGGACCCTCAGGGGCGGCGGTTGGTGTCCCTCAGGTGGTGCGCGAGATGCCGCTGCCGGCCGTCCGGGTAACCCCCCCCCCCCCGGCACTCAGAGGGCCGTCCGGGTAACCCCCCCCCCGGCACTCAGAGAGGGGTCCGGGTGACCCCCGCGGCACTCAGAGAGGGGTCCGGGTGGCCCCCGCGGCACTCAGAGGGCCGGCTGGGTGACCCCCGCGGCACTCAGAGGGCCGGCTGGGTGACCCCCGCGGCGTTCAGAGGGGCCGCCCGCCGGCGGGAGGAGCTCTGCCGGCCGACCGCCCGGCTGTTCTGCAGGCCGACCTTCATGCTGTGGCTGATCACCTGGGGGCCGAGCGGAGAGGGGTCAGCGGCCAGCGGTCAGCGGTCAGCGGTCAGCGGTCAGCGGTCAGCGGTCAGCGGCCAGCGGTCAGCGCGTCACTCTGGTGACCTCAGGTCTCACTCCAACGACTTCATCTCAGGTCACGTTAACGAAGCGCTCGAATGACGTCAGTTTGGTTGCTGCCAAACCAGTGTTCTTAGTTCAAGGCCCCAGCAGGCCCCAGCAGCACTTGAACATTTTCGTTGACAGTGATTCACGGGGGTCCGTGATTCCGTTCACATGCGTCCGGATCGCGTGGCTGGCCGGTTACGTTACTGGTTATTTGGACGGCTACTTGGTCGATTCTCTGGCCGGTTACCTGTCCAGTAACCGGCCAGACCGTTTACGTATTTGATGATCTGCCTTAACCCGCGCCGGGCCGGGGGGGGGGGGTCTGAACACCCCCCTCTTACTCGGCTCCTGGGCCACGTAGCGACACGCAGTAAGCGGCATTCGAAAGAGCGTCAAAAATAATGACGGACGCACTTTGGATATTTTCTGGGTCAGGTCAAAGGTCAGGTCGCCAGAGGTCATCAAAGGTCAAATGTAGGTAGTCCATTTTAACAATTTTGGAAACTGCCAACGGCTAACTCCGAAACCAATAAAGCTACAGCGCCGCAGAAAAGCGCATTCGATAGCCCTTTTACAGACCTTTCTGGATAATATTCTCAGATTTGACCTCAGGTCAATAGTTTAGCCTCCAGAGGGCAGAAACTTGAAAAATAGCAGTTTTCACGAAAACTGTATTTCGGCAATAACTTTTGACACAAGAGTGCCACGACATTACTGTTGGCAGCATCGTGTTCCTCGCGTCGAGACGCGTCGAAAGAGCTATTTGTTGACCTTAAAAGGTCATTTTGAAAATTTGACCTCAAGTCAAGGGTCATGACCTGACCGAAAAGGGTCATGCTGCATATCAGTCGATCCGTATCGTCGAGCTGAATCCATCTGACGTGTTTTCACCGCTCTAGCACGTCCTTATCAGAAGTTATAGCCAAAAAATGCTGGTGACCGTTCATGACCTGAGATTACCTTAGGGCACACAGAGGGGTCACAGGTGCATTTTTCCGATTCAGTGTGTCATGTTTACCTATGAACCGATGTTTGAGAGGGTTTTGAACACTATTCGTCCAAAATAGGCGCCCGGGGGCGGTCAACGAGAGTCTGCCCGCCCGATAGTCCACTGACCTGAAACAGCCTGTGACATAGTCCACTGACCTGAAACAGCCTGTGCTGTAGTCCACTAACCTGGAACAGTCTGTGATATATGGGGGGATCCGTGCTATCGCAAGTTATATCGGACGTGGCTGCGCAACTTCTCTCGGTACGAAACTTCTCTTGATCGGAAGAAAATCGGAGGGATGAAAAAGAAAGAGCGGCCCATCGGAGCTACGTTGTACGTAAGTTGTTTCGCAGCGTTTAAATGCCAGTTTTACTACGATTTAAATGCCAAGCAGATCAGCTGACCTCGTAGTACCATGTCGATAAGATCGAATTCCCCATACGTCTATAGTGTAAAAGTGACCCCTATTGCAAATGGGCTGTCAGGGACATCTCCTCCTCTGTAAATTTGGAGGGACCATGTGTCGGCATTCCCACGTTCGTTTCGGAGTCCATCTGTTCCATTTGGAGCCCGTCAGTTGGCGTCAAGAGTTGGCGCAGCGAGCGCCCCGAAGACTGCGTCTGCGCACGAGGCTTCGCGATGGAGGAGTATTTTGACGAAATCGCCCTCGCTGCAGAAGAAATAGAGGGACTTGTTGAGAAAGAGGAGGCCGCAGTGTGCCGACGACTTTAACCCGCGACCTGGTGGGGGGGGGGCTATTTTTTGCCCCCCCTCCAGACTTTTCGATATATATCCAGAACCACTCCGCCGATCGTCACCAAACTTTCAGTACCCTCCCGGACATCAATTTTAGACATTGTGACCAAAATTTTTTCCAAAGGCTATGATAGGTTGGCCGGAAATGACGTCAGAGTGACGTCATGTTCTGCCGTTTTCGACCCAAAAAAGGGTTTCGCGGGAAGAGCTGTCAGGCCTATAGCTTTGCAAATACAGAAAAATGATACAGACATAAAAGCTGTAGAATGAACAGGGCTACAAAACTGCTATCTCGGATTTTTGAAATTTTTGGATTTTGACCCCCAAAAATCAAAAAATAGTTTTTTTTTTGAATATAATAGCCAAAAAATCCAAAAAGTTTTTTGAATTTCGAAAAAACCGGAATATATGTGATAGTCCTTACCGCCTTCTATCTACATACCAAATTTGAGATCGATACCTCTTTTTTTGGCCAAGTTATAGCGAAAAAACTGTTCAAAATTGATGACGTCAAATTTTCAAACTCAATTTTCAGCAATTCTAGACCTCGTAGCGCAAAACAAAGACCACCATTAGACTCCCCGTGACGAGCTGCATCGAATCAATACCCATTTTATGCAAAAATATCAACTTTGAAATTTGACCTTTTTGACCTGACCTTGACCTGACCTCCACCAGAAAGTGACCTAAACCGTACCTGATGGTCTTATAACCAACACCATTGAGTTGGAAATGAAAAACTGGCCATAAAACATGCATCGCATAACCTTAGTAAAGTTGGGTTCATGTGGTGACCCTTGGTGACCTTTGGTGACCTGACCTGTGACCTGACCTGGTATGACCAGTGACCTCTAACAGCAACATATCTACTAGGCAACTGACGCCCTATCGCTGATTCCCGACAAAATGCGTTTTTCTCGGTGTTATAGCGCATTCCCTAGAAGACCCGTGAACGGTGAAACATTTCATCTTTGACCTGACCTGTGACGTCATCGGTGACCCCGAGGTCAATAAAATTTGGTTTCCCTCGACAAATTTGACAGGCCTTTCGAACGCCGTTTGAATTTTTCGGATCCGTCCAGTAGTTTCGGAGATACGAGGGGGGGCAAAAAATAGCCCCCCCCCCCACCAGGTCGCGTTATAAACAGACCCCACCAGGGCGCGGGTTAAACTGTACGCCAACGCCAAGACCAAGGCAATCAGGGGGCGCTCAGATGATCGGGAGGTTTCAATTGATCAGGGACCCATCAGGTGACCAGGGAACCCTCTGGTAACCAGGGGCCCTTCCAGTAACCAGGGACTCCTTCAATAACCAGGGGCCCCTCAGTAAACGTGGGCCACTCGGGTTACTGCAAGAGACAGGAGTCCCTTATAACCAGGGACCGGCAAGGTCTTTCAGGTCCGTTTTTGACAAAGCTGTTATTGACGTCATATGCGAGCCCTTTGCCACCAGCAGAGGGCCCTTTCAAGCCTTTTTAGGGCCGTTTAACGTCTCTTAAGTTTCCTTTGAGGCTAAGGGCCTCTTCAGCAGCCGAGGGGTCTTTGAGACCTTTTTGAGGGCCTCTTAACGTCGGCTGAGGACCGTTGGACGCCATCTGAGGACCGTTTGGGGCCTTCTGATGGCCAGTAGATGCCAACTGAGGGCTCTCTGACACCAGCTGAGGGCACGCTGACACCAACTGGGGGCCTCCTGACACCAGCTAAGGGCGCTTTTATATTTGACACGAGCTCAGGGCCCTTTGACGCCCTTTGAGACCTTCTGAGGTCCGTTTGACGCCAGCAGAGGACCCTTTGGGGTCATATGAGGGCCCTTTGCTGCCTTCTAAGCGGCCTTTGAGGTTTTTTTAGGGCCGCTTGACGCCAGCTGAGGACCGTTGCGGTTGGACTCCAGTTACGGACCGTTTGAGGCCTTCTGATGGCCATTTTGCGCCAACTGAGGGCCCTCTGACACTAGCTGGAGGCCCTCTGACACCAGATAAGGGCCCTTTAAGGCCTTCTGAAGTCCGGTTAACGCTAGCGGAGTGCCTTTTGAGGCCAAATGAGGGCCCTTTGAGACCTTATAAAGGCTCCTTGAGGCTTTTGAGGGCCGCGTGACGGCATCTGAGGACCGTTGTACTCCAGCTGACGACCGTTTGAGGCCTTCAGATGGACTTTTGGCGCCAGCTGAGGAGGGCTCACTGACACCAGCTGGGGGCCCTCTGACACAAGCTAAGGACTCTTTAACCCGCGCACCGACGGGGGTCTGCGCCAACTTAGTACCGACGGGGGGGGGGGGCGGATGACCGCCCCCCCTGAGATCTCGAGAACGAAGCAAGATAGCGACAAGCGGTAAACGGCATCGGATACGCACGGTCAAGATCTACAATTTTTACTAAGGTCATTTTCAGGTCAGGTCAAAGATGACGTCACAGGGGTTGAAAAAGTCAAAATGGCGGCGCTAAATATGGAGAGAGTTTTTCTCGAATTACTTTCGAATTAGTCAAGATAGGAACAAACTAAGGGCATCATCGTGATCCTCTCGTCAATCCGCATCGAATGATATATATGTTGACCTCGAAAGGTCAAGGTCAAAGGTTGACCTCAGGTCACGTGACCTCGAGGTCATCATGTATATCATTCGATGCGTCTTGACGAGCTGAACACAATGAGACCATCCACGCGTCTGTATCTTGTTCCTGTACGGAGTTATTGGCCAAAAACCTTTGGTGACCTTTGATGACGTCACATGACCTCACAGCTGCCCAACAGCAAAACAGACCTCAAGGTAGTGAAGGTTGATCGTATATGAAGTCATGTATGGTATATGGGGCCATTCCGACCCGTTTTAGTGGTAAAAACAGGGAGTTGATTTTTCCCCCATTGACTTATAATGGGGAGGTCGCGAAATTGACCTGACCTTAGGTCACCGATATCAAAATTCCGAGATATACAAATTGTAGCTACTAATGACCTAATAACATCCTGCGACTTTCAAAGGCCTCCGACATCTACTGTAGCTCTGGCACGGTGACAAAGTTGCAAAAAAGTGACTTGAGGTTGGGTCATTCAAAGTGACCTGGTGACCTGACCTTGAAAGGTAGGAGGTTCAAACTTGCACACCATGTGTAAAATTAATAAGGGAATAGTCATACCAAATTTCGCGGCGCTACGCGCCGCGGTTTTCCCGCTATTCGCGAAAAACCTCAGGGGGGGCGGATATCCGCCCCCCCCGTCGGTGCGCGGGTTATGGCCTTCGGAGGGTCGTTTGACGCGAGCTCAGGGCCCTCTGACGCAGGTTTAGGGCCCTTTGACGCCCTTTAAGGTCTTCTGAGGTAGGTTTAACGTTGGCTGAGAGCCCTTTGAACCCATCTGAGGGCCCTTTGAGAGTTGAGACCATCTTGTGGCCCTTCATTCGGCCATCTGAGGGCCATTTGACGCTAACCGAGGGCCCTTTGAGACCATCTGAGGACCCGGTGACCCCATCTGTGGGCCCTTTGAGGTCTTTTGAGGGCCATTGAAATTTCACCACAATACCCCTGGCTGCGCTACTGGGCATTTATGGACTCGTATGGGCCTGCTGGGGAACGAGATGGGCCTTCCCGGTCTTTTCAATCATTATTTCAGTTCATTTTACATGGTCTTCGGCGGTCTAAAGATTAGGGGCCCCAACTCGAATGGGGGGGAGGCCCGTGTGCCCTCTCCTGTGTGCGGCCTTGCCGACACTACACCGCTTCCCCTCCCTCCGCCATAAACGCACCGCTGCACTGTTAGGCGCCGACAAATACGGACCGGCGCCGCAACCGGCTCCCCCGCGGCCTGCCTCGCGTTGACATAGCCCTTCCCGAACACCAGTGTAACCCCCACGCGGCCTAGGTATCGCCGCGCCCACCTGTCCGCGGCGCGGCCTCTGATGACGTATCGGATCATTGCTGGTGCGATACATGTTTTGGTCAGATTTTCGCAATTAACGCGAAAAATTGCCCAAAACACTTTAAATTTCAAATTTGAAAAAAAAAATAATTACAAAAAGGACGTGAAAGTGACCGTTTTCAACGTGTAAATTTAAAACGCTCTAGCGCAGCCATTTTTGAAGAAATCGACTTCAAATTTTGCACACGTGTTCATCAACCATATTTGTTTAACATATATTTCGGTTTTGTGAAAATTTTGAAAATTTCTTATATTTTTCTCTTGAAAAAGAGGTAAAGCTTCGCTACGATCGGCCTTCCGATCGACCGAGAAGATTCGTAAAGTTAGTTCGTATCTTCACCATTTGCGACACAACTTCCGTATCTACTTAGCCTACGATGTGATGGATCCCTCCAATATCTGTTCCGATTCAACTTACGTTTGATCGCAACTGCGAGGTGCCTTGCGATCATATGGATCCCCCCTATAGTCCACTGTCTCCACTGACCTGGAACAGTCTGTGATGTAGTCCACTGACCTGGAACAGTCTGTGATGTAGCTCACTGACCTGGAACAGTCTGTGATGTAGCCCACTGACCTGGAACAGTCTGTGATGTAGCTCACTGACCTGGAGCAGTCTGTAATGTAGCTCACTGACCTGGAACAGTCTGTGATGTAGCCCACTGACCTGGAACAGTCTGTGATGTAGCTCACTGACCTGGAACAGTCTGTGATGTAGCCCACTGACCTGGAACAGTCTGTAATGTAGCTCACTGACCTGGAACAGTCTGTGATGTAGCCCACTGACCTGGAACAGTCTGTGATGTAGTCCACTGACCTGGAACAGTCTGTGCTGTAGTCCACTGACCTGGAGCAGCCTGTAATGTAGCTCACTGACCTGGAACAGTCTGTGATGTAGCCCACTGACCTGGAACAGTCTGTGATGTAGCTCACTGACCTGGAACAGTCTGTGATGTAGCCCACTGACCTGGAACAGTCTGTGATGTAGCTCACTGACCTGGAACAGTCTGTGATGTAGTCCACTGACCTGGAACAGTCTGTGCTGTAGTACACTGAACTGGAGCAGCCTGTAATGTAGCTCACTGACCTGGAACAGTCTGTGATGTAGCCCACTGACCTGGAGCAGTCTGTGATGTAGTCCACTGACCTGGAACAGTCTGTGATGTAGTCCACTGACCTGGAACAGTCTGTGATGTAGTCCACTGACCTGGAACAGTCTGTGCTGTAGTCCACTGACCTGGAACAGTCTGTGATGTAGTCCACTGACCTTGAACAGTCTGTGCTGTAGTCCACTGACCTGGAACAGTCTGTGATGTAGCTCACTGACCTGGAACAGTCTGTGCTGTAGTCCACTGACCTGGAACAGTCTGTGATGTAGTCCACTGACCTGGAACAGTCTGTGCTGTAGTCCACTGACCTGGAACAGTCTGTGATGTAGCTCACTGACCTGGAACAGTCTGTGCTGTAGTCCACTGACCTGGAACAGTCTGTGATGTAGTCCACTGACCTGGAACAGTCTGTGCTGTAGTCCACTGACCTGGAACAGTCTGTGATGTAGCTCACTGACCTGGAACAGTCTGTGCTGTAGTCCACTGACCTGGAACAGTCTGTGCTGTAGTACACTGAACTGGAGCAGCCTGTAATGTAGCTCACTGACCTGGAACAGTCTGTGATGTAGCTCACTGACCTGGAACAGTCTGTGATGTAGCCCACTGACCTGGAGCAGTCTGTGATGTAGCTCACTGACCTGGAACAGTCTGTGCTGTAGTCCACTGACCTGGAACAGTCTGTGCTGTAGTACACTGAACTGGAGCAGCCTGTAATGTAGCCCACTGACCTGGAACAGTCTGTGATGTAGCTCACTGACCTGGAACAGTCTGTGATGTAGCCCACTGACCTGGAACAGTCTGTAATGTAGCTCACTGACCTGGAACAGTCTGTGATGTAGCCCACTGACCTGGAACAGTCTGTGATGTAGCTCACTGACCTGAAGCAGTCTGTAATGTAGCTCACTGACCTGGAACAGTCTGTGATGTAGCCCACTGACCTGGAACAGTCTGTGATGTAGCATACTGACCTGGAGCAGTCTGTGATGTAGTCCACTGACCTGGAACAGTCTGTGCTGTAGTCCACTGACCTGGAGCAGCCTGTAATGTAGCTCACTGACCTGGAACAGTCTGTGATGTAGCCCACTGACCTGGAACAGTCTGTGATGTAGCTCACTGACCTGGAACAGTCTGTGATGTAGCCCACTGACCTGGAACAGTCTGTGATGTAGCTCACTGACCTGGAACAGTCTGTGATGTAGTCCACTGACCTGGAACAGTCTGTGCTGTAGTACACTGAACTGGAGCAGCCTGTAATGTAGCTCACTGACCTGGAACAGTCTGTGATGTAGCCCACTGACCTGGAGCAGTCTGTGATGTAGTCCACTGACCTGGAACAGTCTGTGATGTAGTCCACTGACCTGGAACAGTCTGTGATGTAGTCCACTGACCTGGAACAGTCTGTGCTGTAGTCCACTGACCTGGAACAGTCTGTGATGTAGTCCACTGACCTTGAACAGTCTGTGCTGTAGTCCACTGACCTGGAACAGTCTGTGATGTAGCTCACTGACCTGGAACAGTCTGTGCTGTAGTCCACTGACCTGGAACAGTCTGTGATGTAGTCCACTGACCTGGAACAGTCTGTGCTGTAGTCCACTGACCTGGAACAGTCTGTGATGTAGCTCACTGACCTGGAACAGTCTGTGCTGTAGTCCACTGACCTGGAACAGTCTGTGATGTAGCCCACTGACCTAGAGCAGTCTGTGATGTAGTCCACTGACCTGGAACAGTCTGTGATGTAGTCCACTGACCTGGAACAGTCTGTGATGTAGTCCACTGACCTGGAACAGTCTGTGCTGTAGTCCACTGACCTGGAACAGTCTGTGATGTAGCTCACTGACCTGGAACAGTCTGTGCTGTAGTCCACTGACCTGGAACAGTCTGTGCTGTAGTACACTGAACTGGAGCAGTCTGTAATGTAGCTCACTGACCTGGAACAGTCTGTGATGTAGTACACTGAACTGGAGCAGTCTGTGATGTAGCCCACTGTCTCCACTGACCTGGAACAGCCTGCGCCAGGCGGCCTCGGCGCCGTCGCTCCACTGGTCCGCCGCCACCAGGCTGGGGCGGATCACCATTATGAACTGTTCTCCCATCAGCTGTCGGCAGAACAGGGACGCCGTTTGTCGCTACTGTAATCCCGCAGCAGAGCGCAGCAGCACATCTCTATTAGGTATGTACTCGTACAGCCTACTCACGTCGATGTACTGTGGTTTGGCGCCGTAGGCGACGTGTCGGCAGCCGAGCTCGGTCATCAGCGGCCCGTACTTGTCCTCCGAGTCCAGGCGGCAGATGATCTTGTTGACGAAGCCCATCACCCTGCCAGTGGGGGCGCGCTGCCACGTCAGTACTGACGTCACACCCTGCCAGTGGGGGCGCGGTGCCACGTCAGTACTGACGTCACACACTGCCAGTGGGTGTGCGGTGCCACGTCAGTACTGACGTCACACACTGCCAGTGGGTGTGCGGTGCCACGTCAGTACTGACGTCACACACTGCCAGTGGGGGCGCGCTGCCACGTCAGTACTGACGTCACACACTACCAGTACCGCTCTGTGACGTCACACACTGCCAGTACCGCTCTGTGACGTCACACACAGCCAGTAATGCTCTGTGACGTCACACACTGCCAGTACCGCTCTGTGACGTCACACACTGCCAGTACCGCTCAGTGACGTCACACACTGCCAGTACTGCTCTGTGACTAGGTAAGATTGTTAAAGTACCACATGTGCTTGTTAACCCGCGCCCCACTGGGGGGGGGGGCTATTCATAGCCCCCCTCCCGTTTTTCTGCAATAACTTCGAAACCACTTAACGTATCGACGCCAAACTTTCAGTATCTTCAGCTGCATCAATTTGACACCTTGTGTAAAAATATGAACTTCGTAACTACCATAGGTCGGCTGGGAATGACGTCAGAGTGACGTCATGTTTGGCCGATTTCGACGCAAAACATTGAACCACGGCAATCGCTCCTAAGAGCTCCGTTTTTAAGCTAGATCCAATTTCTTTGCATGAGAGGACTCACAATAGACTGCGCTATCAAACTGCTATCTCGGATTTTCAAGGTTTTGAAAATTTTATAGAATAAAATTCAAAATTTTTATTTTTATATTTTTCAAAAACTATTTGACTTTGCAAAAAACGTAAAATATTTGATAGAATACTTATGACTTACTCAAGCAAGTTTTAGCAAAATATTTTCAAAAATGGCCAAGTTATACGCATAATTGCAAAAAAATCACAATTGTAAATTTTTCAAATTATTTTTGAGTACGTTTTTGACATCCTACACCAATATAAATAGCAGCATCGTGTTCCTGAGCTCAAACTGCATCCCATAGACACCTTTCTTTGTTGAAAAATTTCAACTTCTAACTTTGACCTTTTTTGACCTGAAAGTGACCTGACCTAAGCTAAATTCAACTCAAAATGACCTCACATGTCACAAACGACATCAAATTCGAAATCTATGGCCTAAATGGACCATAAAACATGTGTCACGTGACCGACGCATGATATAGGGGAAGGTGGGGTAAGATGGCCCAGCGCGGCAAGACGGACCACCAGCCCTCCCGGCTGAGCCGCTGCTGGTATCTACTGCTTTATGCACTCACTATGTTTGTTTTCCTTCGTAACAATGGCCACCTTGAGCTCATGCTGCTAGGATGCATAGCTTTTGAGTTATTGAGAAAAATGTTGTTTTTCGTCAAACTGATCTAATATAAGAGGTCTATGGGTGATTCAATTACGGCGCCTTTCTTGCATGATTAGTTTCTATTTTCCATTTAACTGTGAAGAACAAAGTTATAAACTTAGTCACACTTTAGGAAAGGCAAGGTTTTGCAATGTTGGGCTATTTGACATATACGTCATGATAATGACATAATTTAGATTTGGGGCAAGACGGACCACTGTGGTCCATCTTACCCTGTGGTGGTCCATTGTACCCTGCATATGGAAAGTTATTTTCCAAAACATTGACACAAGTTTAAGTAAGCTAATTTTTCAGGAAGGAGTCTTTGTTGCATGTGAGCCATGTGTTTCCACAATCGCCCTTCGCCCATATCTTCAGACGCGTCCTGAGTCCCTACTGCCTTGACGTCAAATAAACCAAAATAAAATAAAAAAGGAAAGTCATGAAACAAATGGTATTCAAGGAGCAGCAAGCAGGCAGTGATATACCAACAGACAGTCGGTCGGAGAGAAACAGACGGACGGTTTTCTGCAAACAATCACAGATGGGAATTACACTCAGTATGGGCACATCACGTACTGCATCCATAGTTATGTCAAGAATTGCTGTTAACTCCGTATAAACACAGCAATAAACCTTCAATCAACATTAAGTCAAGGTTGACGTCTGACAATCATTACTTTAACAGTTCAAGTTCATTGATGTTAGCACGCAATCAACAGTCGGCTAATTTGCATCCTTAAATTAACAGTTGTACTGACCAGATATGTTTGGGCACGACGGTGGAACAAAACAGTGGCAGCGGCTGGCTCAATCTCAGTCCGCACTCGTAGGTCCGCGGCTCAGCTGGCTCACACTCAGCTGGACGGCCCTAGAACCACCCCAAACATATGTATAAACGTTGTCTACTTTGACAATGATAAACTAATGACGGTAAACAGCAAAACTAAAGAACCTGCACCCAGTAGTACAGTAAATCAAAGTACAAAATTGAAAGCGCGACGAAAGTGGCGCTACGTTGGTTTGTTGCCATTTCCGCTGAATTCAACATCGCTCACAGCTAACAGAAAATATATCAGACAATACTAATTGCGCTAGCTATCACTTGGATGCATTCATTAAACATTTCAGACAATCATCAATAAGAAAATGAAAGCATACGTACGACAGCCCTCGACACCAGTGGTTCATTCAAGAATGAGCCTGCGTGGTCGACAATTTGGATGCGTCTCGTGCGCCAAACTCGTCAAAGACACGCGAGCAAACGCGGCCACTAAATGACGGGCCGGCTCCCGAACGTAAAGAGCCGCCAGATTTCTCACAAACGGTGACCGGTCGCAACATCCTCCCCCCTAGTTTTCGGACGAACCGAAAACTCACACATTGAGCGACCGAATATGCAATACCAAATGCTCTCACAGCAAGGTAACGAAAGACAAATTCTTCTCACAGCATTGCAAACAGCAATTGTCCGCTCTTGCACACGCGACTGCATGGCCGCCAGGTAAGCACAAAACGCACTGTGCGCGCAGTCCGAAGTCACGCACTAACGCCGTTCACCGATGCCGGTCACGGTAACGCATCACCACCGCACGAGGCAGTCTGAGGCCGAAGGCGCCGCCCCCGGGCGGCATGGTCATTTCTCCGCGCACCACGCACAGTCACATCGCACGGTAGTAGCCGAGCCGAAGATGCTGCGCGCCGCCAGCCGACACGACCGCTCGGGCAGCAGCGCGCACGAAGTACACCATCCTCGTAGGTCCGTGTGTGCCGTCGTGCACACCAGGACGGCACGCCGTAGTCCAGCGATGAGTCGCCGGCTCCAGCTCGGCGAAGAAGACGATCCATGTCCGAGACGCCGCCTCGCCAGTCGGAGACAGCAGCCCAGTAGTCCGACGTCCAGTCCAGGCCCGCGATCGCTGCTGCTTTCCAGGATCACAGGCACGAGGAGGGTCGGAAATGGTTATAAATACGGCTAAGGATTCAATGACAATGGGAAGGGGTAACAAAACAAAACAAAACAAAACAAAACAAAACAAAACAAAACAAAACAAAACAAAACAAAACAAATAAAATAAATACGTGTGGGTATCATGACACAAAATGCAGTGCTCATCAGTGCAAAACGATGACTCATCGGCAGCTTTACTGGGAACTAGACCTCTCTAGCACACAAAGCTTGTGGCTGGGTCTCTTGTACACCCCAGTCGGTGTACGGACGAGGACCGAACGCACGGTCCCATCAGCGCTTGGGTAGGTCTCCTGTACCACACCAAGAGGCCAGAAGCCTCTAGGCGTGTCCTCCGTCATCACCAGGACGACATCATCCACGGCGAGATTTGGTCTCTCCTTGTTCCATTTCTTGCGCGAGATGAGAGTCGGCAGATACTCCCGCAACCACCTTCTCCACACTTGATTCGTGAGCATCTGCACATGCCGCCAACGTTTGCGGGTCGTGTCGCCGTCCTCGAAGACGCCCGGAGGAAGTCCTGACGCGCTCGCCGTCTCTCCAGCAAGAAGGAAGTGGTTTGGAGTGATCGACTCCGGATCGCTGTTGGCTCCTGAGACGTAGGTGAGCGGGCGTGAATTTATGACATACTCCACCTCGACGACAGTCGTGTGCAGGACATCGTCGGACACCGTCTGATTTCCCAACACGGCACGGAGGGCCCTCTTCACCGAGGCGACGAGCCTTTCCCAGGCACCACCCATATGACTCGCCGTCGGTGGATTAAACTTCCACACGATGTCCATCTGGCTGAGAGACTTGTCGATCTTCCGCTGATTCCATTCAGCCAACGCCTCTCGCAGCTCTCGCTCTCCGCCCACCAGGTTGGTGCCATTGTCAGAGCAGATACACCTCGGCCTCCCTCGCCGTCCGATGAACCTGCGCAGAGCAAGTAGAAAGGAATCGGTGTCCAATCCATGGGCGACTTCAAGATGTATCGCCCGCGTAGCGAGGCATGTGACGAGCAGGACATACCGTTTTTTCCGTTTTCCGGAACTTTCGGACTGTCAAAGGTCCAAGGAAGTCCAGACCGCAGTTTGCGAAGGGTCTATCCATTTCAACTCTGACCCTTGGGAGAGCCGCCATCTCAGGACACACTGGCTGAGCTCGCCTGTTGCGGCACACAGCACAGCTCCGTAGAATCCTCTTCACTGTTGATCTCGCCTTCGGAGTCCAGAACCTGTACCGAAACTGGTTCAGAGTGTGGCTCATTCCCGCGTGCATGGATCTCACGTGAAGATCTGAGACGATCAGTCGCGTAACATCACTGGAGGGATGCAACACGATCGGCTCTCGGGAGATCTCAGCCAGTGGTGCACTACCAAGGCGACCCTTCGCCCTGATGAGGCCCTGGTCGTCACGAAAGAGAGACAGGTCAGTTGGCGAGTCGAGCGCCATCTTTGCCTGGTCTTCCCGAAAGATCAGGAGTTCTGCTCTCTTCAGCTCGTCGACGTTCAGCACTCCGCTCTGCTTGGGCTTCTTTGTTATCGCTGATCTGAGATTGCTGACGAACCGCAGAGACAAGGCCACTACTCGCCGGTACTTGCTCCACGACGAGTAGGCCGAAGGATCCACGAGCCTGGACTGCGAATCACCGACGAAGGCGACTATC